GCTCATTGCACAGCAGCCTACGGCAGCTAGAGCACGACTCCTCCAATGGAGTCCCCCAATTAATATATATGGTCACCTTTAAACCTGGTCTCCCGCTCTCCCTCAGCTAAACACCATATATTAATTGAATGAATAAGCGCAATTCACAAATAATGAAATGATAAATAATGAATTGCTTAAATCCACATGCATTCGTTTGTATGTATGTTTACTTACATGTATGTATGTATGTATGTATGTATGTATGTATGTGTGAAATTTGCAATTTTCAATGTGATAGTTCAAATTATGCTTATAGATCGTAAGGTTAGACGTACGATGAATGTGTCTGTCGGTGTTACACTGAAATTGTACTATTTTTTATACAACTTTCTAACAAACACAATAACTACCTACAACAAATACATTTGTAATGAAAATGTGTTAGAAAATAAACGTTGAACTTGATCGTATAGGTATTCATTACCTTATTATAGAAAGGCCCTAAGTAATTTTCTTTCGAAATTCAACTCTGTACAAAAGTCGGCAGATTACTGAACAAAAACCTTATCAAATTTAAATTCAACAACTACATCAGAAAATTTATTTTTGTTTTTATTAAAAAAACACGCAACTGAAGAACTTTTTTTTTATAGTTTTTTAGCCAGGGACGGTAATCATTATTTTATGATTTTTGTTTTTTTTTCGCTTAAAAATAATATTTACTATTGAGTTTTATTTTTTCCATCAACGAAAATAATTATTATTTGATTTTTATTTTTCGATCACAAATAATGATTTTTATTTTTTATTAAGCTGTATTTTTCCACTTAAAAATAATGCTTATTTACAAAATTTAAAAAGAAAAACCTTACAGACGCAACTAACTAAAATGCTGCTGAAAATTTCGGGACTTATTCCTTTTATTAGGGTGTCCCTACCTCTGAAAGGGATACATCGGAAATCACGCTGGTATACCTTTGAGTTTTTTGAATGATCATTATTCATTAGTAATTATTATCTTTGAGCGAAATAATAAAAATCGTAAAATAATAATTTTTTTTGATAAAAAAAAATCAATTAAAAATAGTTTCTCAAATATTAATTATTATTTGTAATCGTTATTGGTTAAACTCGAAAAATAAAAATCATTGTGAATTACAGTAGGACGTACGAGCACAAATTCGTGAGTATAATTAAAATTGTTTTAAGACGATTACAAGTTTTTGATTTTTTTGGTTAAAATTTAAGAAATAATGATGATTTTCCGTCCCTGTTTATAACTGCTCCGCAAAGAAATAAAAATTTTTGGTAGGGCGTTTCTATATTAAAGTAACGATATATAGAATAGAAATGTTAAAAAGAAGGAATTTGAAAACAAATGCGGAAGTATTACTTAAGTATGTAGGTGTGTGACAAAATCAATAAATAATCAAAGTATAATTAATTTCATTAACCCTAGTTTTTTAAGTTATTTACGTTAATGCATAATTTCCTAATGGACTATCGATTTAGTTAAGAGAAAGCAGTGACTTCAAGTACACACATATGTATGTACATTTCTATTTATAAATAGGCATTAATAGCGTTTTTAAATTACACACCGTTCTTAGTTAATTAATTATCAACATTTTTTTTTCAAAACTAATCCAATTTGTAATGGCAACATCTAACTTTTCGTTAGCCTTCTTTTTTTTTGGAAGAAAATTCCTTATATTTATTTTTTTCGTTTAATAAAAAAGTACTTAATCGTACTTGAATACTTTGTAATTATAAGCAATTTTTTTTTTGTAAAATAATGGTACTGAAAACACTTGTAATTAAAAAAAAACACATTCGACTAAGTTTATAAGAACAAACCATTGAAAAGTATAGAGTAGAACGGACTAATAAAAACGATATTACCAACGTAATTTTATTTAGATATTCAATAAATAAATATTTGCCAGTACTTATACTGAAAAGTGAAGATGTAAATTTTAGTTTAAAAAAATCGCATCCAAATGATACGGGTATGTATGGAAATATACATACATACAAATAAAGATAATATATATTTGTTTAATAAGTTGATAATGAATTATTGAGTTTTTTTTTTTTGTAAAAACTGGATTCCGTAAGTATCTTAAACACCCCTTTAAAGTGGTGAGCCTTTCAAAGAAAGTTCAAGGTACACCACCCGATCTTAAGTATTTTTGCAAGGTTATTACAAAAAAAAAAAATAAAAAAAAAATAATAAAAGAATTGAATTTATAGTAAAATAGTTCACAAGAAGACAAAGATGATTCTAAGAAAAAGAATTGAAGTTCACTAGGTATATACATCGTACGTATAATAATCGAAATTAAAAAAATTTAATTACCAAAATATTTGAATATTTAGCTAATCTTCTTTCTGTATTACCCTCATCCAAATTTCGATTTCTTATCATCTATTGAGTTATTGCCAACGCATTATCTGTCCCTATCAAAAAATATCGGTCTTAGAAGAAAATTGTGGGGGCCAAAGTTGTAGGAAATTTGATATTCTTCAAGTCTGACCTTACTTATATGTATATGCCGTAGATATGAAAATGAACGAGATATAATGCAATATTTTGAGATTGCCGCTTGTTTCAAGTTTATTTCGAAAACTATCAATTTTAGAAGAAAAATTATGAGGACCAGACTTGTATAGAATTGAATTTCCAACACCTTTTGTTCTTATGATTTTTCAGGCAAATTAAAAATGGCCAAGTTATTCAAAGGGAAGGCAGCAGTGGTTTTTCTTACACAGAATTTGATGATCTTTCAGATGAGCATTGGTTTTTTGAGGACCTCGATGATATACTCGGATCCTACAGGCGAGGCGTCGCTTATCTCGCTGCAGCAACTAATACGGCTAATCAGGGGGGCTTGCAGCACTACCTATTCGTATCGCTCCGTATCCCTCCCCTGGCTCGAGGAACAATCAGAATACGGGACTCCTGACATACTCGAATCCCAAAAAAAAAAAAATTTTTAACGCCTTTGATAGATCCAACGTTACTAGGACCGTTCTCTCACAGGGGCGCTTTCGGTTAAGGCCACGAGTTATCTGGGTGTTTATGGCGTTAAGGTGCTAAGTACTATACGGAACCCATGCTGATGCGTCGCTGGGGTCAGGTAGTTTGCGTAGTGGGGCAATAGAAGGGCCTCAAGGGCGATAGGATTCCTTTGTTGCCTGGTTTCCCCGGCTTAAACAGTGGGCTTACCTTTTCCGTTTTCCAGATGTCCGGAAAGATGAGGGTGGCCATAGACAGATTAAGGACCTTGGTTAAATAATCTACTCCCGGAGGACCCAATTTTTTCAGCGTCATCATGCAAAATCCGTCGGGACCTATGGCTTTGGAGGCTTTCGCCTTCCCGATGGCTACCTGAACTTCACCGCTGGTCAAAACAAGAGGCGCACTGGGTGTTGACCTTCTGGTCAATAGACGTTTGTCTTTGTCCGCCGGAGGCGCAGTGTGAATTGTCGGCTAAAATACCTCGCGCATCGCTCCTGATCCGACGAGGCATGGTCGCCGAAAGAAATTTCGACTCTGTCATCACGTTTCGTCGGGTTGGACAAAGACATCATGGTTGACCAAGGCTTGCTCACACCAGAGCTGAAGTTCAAACGCTCTTCCTATTTCTTCCGCTCATGTTCATTCACTAGTTGCCAATATCCATATTGAGATTCCTGATAAGGGGATTTCCGGGATCGGCCTGCGAAGGTTGTCACATTCCCCAGCTAGAAGAGCCGCTTCAGCTAGAAAATTCCGACGGGAGTTCGAAATGCATCCAGCTGGAATGAAGCGAGCTGTAGCAGCAGTAACAACCCTGCGGAACTTACGCCCACCTGCGTGGTGTGGGAAGGGCAGGAAAGGTTTCTTGAGTAACTTCTGCAAAGCCATTCCGATCAGCTTTAGAAAAGCTGATGTATGTTGAAAAGTTGATCAGTATGTCGAATCGCTCAGCCAACTGTGTTTCCCTACGATCATTCGACAGGCTTGAACGCAACTACGTCTCTTGGACCGCAACTATCAAAATGCCATGCCGGCTTTTGAATACGGTTACCTCGTCGATCTATTATTGAAGTCCGTCGCAGTTGAACTGTAATATATTTGTTTGCCTAGGGAGACTGGTTGAAATTTGTAGTGTAAAGGAGTGCTTTTTCCTGCTGGCCGCCTGCTGTATGTGCTGCTGTAGAGGGCGCCAATTTCGCGTCAAATCTCGCGTGGCGTACAGTCCGGAACATGCCCTAAAGTGGCACTAGCCACTGACACGTGACTGATGTCATGTTACGGCATATTCTGGACCGACACATCAGAGCAGATTGTTGGAGGGACTAGGAGTTGTCGGCAGTGGCATGTTGGTGGGAGAACGGTTTCCTCTGTGCGTGTGTGTTGTATTGGAGTGTGGTTGTGTTGGTGTTGGCTTGCTCGGTCGAACTACGGTGTGCCGTGGAGACGGTCCGATTAGTACCACATGGGCCACGTAAGACGTGGTGCACTGCCGATGAGTTCTTAAGCCCGAGCAAGTGCGGCGGTGGAGTCATTCCGGTACGTAGAATAAGATGCCGTGGGAATGGCACCTACATTTGGCAATCAACAATTTTTAGAAATAGCTCTATTCGAATAATCAAAATACTTCCGGGGCTAAATTTTAATAAATTTTATATAGCTTTAATTTACTGACATAAGGGTGGAGGAACTGAGATCTGGAACAAAAAACTTTTCTCCTTGAGACAAAAATAGCGATATGAAGTAAAATTTAAAAAGGCGACGCCTACGTTCGACAAAACAAAAAAAAAACCGAAATCGCCTCGCAAAATATTTAGATTCAGTGGTGTAGGGTGCATTTTATCATTATGCTTATATATAAATATATATATATATCAGATCAAAGGTATTTTAATTAATAAAGATCGGTTCAAAATTTTTGATAAATAGGCTTTTAAATATTTCGAATATTCTACTTTTACCCCTCCCTAACACCCCCTATTAATCTTCACCAAAAAAATGTGTGTGTCAGAGGAGGCGGGCCACGCCCACCTTTTGTTTTTCTAGCTCAAGGGGCGGGTTTTAACACACTTAAAACATATATCGTCGCAAAACCTCCCATCGACTAATTGCAAAACCGCCTATCTATCGAAAAACTTTTTTTCTTGATAGGCGGCATTTTCTCTAGCTATTATTTTACAATCTGTTGTTTTAATACCGATTTTATGCATAATTCTCGATGCCTGGAGTTCAGGGTTATCAAATCTCATTTTTGTCACTATGGAGATTTATGCTGTTTTGCAACTGGTCGATGGCCGGTTTTGCAAAAACAACGACGATATTATTTATTTCTCCTATATGTTTTGCGATTTCACAAAAATATTTGATTGCGTCAGAGCGTAAAGAGTAACGTAACGCACTCTTTACGTTGGGGCCTCGATGCAACTCTGCGCAATTTGTTTATCCAGCTGTCAATTGGGTCAGCTGTTATATTGCACCTGCATACAAATCGAGGAATTTATAAAAATTATTATTGCAAAAAGGAATTGTTACAATGGTGATACAACAAATTAAGACACTATTACTAAGTATTGTTAAGCTGCTGCGACGAATGATGTGTTGTTTCTCTTTCGGAAGACGAAGAAAACCGAGTTTCTCAGAACCAATGGAAATAAAAGTTGTGATAGGTGATGGTCAAGAGGCGGTGCCGGTAGGAAAGCAGTCACCCAATTGGAATCGGACACAGCAACAACAACACGTACACACATATGCTTTCCTTATGGTTTGTGTTGATAATTCAATTGATATAATTAAATATGTGCACAGGTGGAACGCGATTGGAATTCTTGGGATGAAAGTCCGCGCACTGTGACGGAGCATATCGAACAATATCGTCAACGACTGGCTAAGCCACCAACTCCGCCACCAGCTGAGCAAGAGCCAGATTTCTTTACTGTAAGTCCCGTAGTATTTGATATTTATTTTGTACATTCACTGCATCCCCATTATAGGAATTAGCACCTGTTATACAACCTCAAATTAAATATTACTTGGGCGACAATAGTAATGATAAAACCGACTTTTCACGCCTAGAAGCAAAGAGTGATGTGCCAATAGCAATGAATGTAATTATCTTAAAGGCCACTATACGAAAAAACTTTGCAAATTATATTTTTCTTTCTACAGGCGGATCTAGAAGATTGGGTAGACGATGCTATCGATGGTGGGTGGGACGAACTTGACACAGAGCAAACTAAGCAGTTGATACGTGAAAAACGACGTGAAATGCGCCAACAACGTCAACAAAAAAACTTCAAAACTGCCGGAATTGAAGCATCAAAAATAGTTATTGGTGTCCAGCATAGTCGTACATAGTATTGGTGGACGGAGGGTAACCACAACGAAAATCATGACACGCATGCACGCGACAAAGTGATATGGCATGAAACATTGTAATGAAGTTACTTCATTCACGCAAATTTTGGGCAAAAGCAAATGTAAATACACATGGAAACTATATACACAAACAAATCAACGCAAACACTCGCAAAGTGCATGAATTGTTTTTCTTTAGTTTGTACTATCCATTTTTTACATAAGTAGTTTATGGAACCCGTGGATAAATGGAATGTAAGGATTTGAATGTTAATTTAACTACATTCCGTAAAAGCTATAATGGATTAGGACGTTATATTGGATATATGTTTGATTCTTGTTTATGCAGTTCCAACAGATTAGACTAGTGTAATATGTATTATTTATTATGTACAAAATGGTTTATCACAGACCAAGCATATTTACATGAAAGCTAATAAATAGAACTTAAGGCTTAATAAAATTTTACTACATACAAACAAGATAAGTATGTGATTTCGATTGGAATGAATTTGCATGCCTCTTCAAGGGTATGAGGATAAATTGCAACGCAACTGGTTTACCTATTTTACCACTTTCAGAAATGTAAAATTATGTCTCCTGAAGCTATGTGGTAAGCATTTGCTTGCACCACAAACTAACTTGCAACGATTTCCTGAGTGTAGTGAAGTGTGAAACGTTGCGGTTTGATTGCAAAAAAGAAAATAGCCGGTAGTGTACCTGGTAGTAAAAAACATGAAGTTGCATTTATAAAGGCAGCAAATACAGGTGAATTTTGTCATTCACTATTGAAAACCCGTGGCAATGGTAGGTGTTCTTCAAATATTTGTTACAAAAAACCATTTTTTTAAAAAAACGACTTACTTTAGATGAACTTACCTTTGCTGATCCCAGTGGTCTCCTTGTTTGCTTTGCGATTAATTGCGACCCAAGTATTGCACCAGAGCACACAACAAAGTTTTTGGGAATCATTTGCACCTGGAGAGCTGTTGCGACTCTTGGAACGCTCGAGCTTATCATTTCCGAGTATACCAAACACTGTAGCACAACGCAGATCGGATGTGAGTTCGGCCGCATTCACATTACCCGCCAAGCTGGATACCAACTTTTCACCAACGCCAGATTCATCAACCGATAACACATACCCCGCGGAAGATCAATTAAATGCACCGTCAAGTAATGAATTCAATTACGATAAGGCTTATGAAGATTTTGTGCGTCACTATTTTAGCGACAAACTAGGAGAAGATAACGACTCTAGTGGAAACAATAAAGAAACCCTAGATGGCGAAGGTAGTGAAAGCGAAGAACATCGTTTTGAAACGGAAGACAATTCTTCATCTACGGAAACGGAACCGCTTACGGAGGAAACGAAAAATCGTTCACAGCGCAAAATAAAGGAAAAATGTCGTCGTGTTAAAAAACAAAAGCAAAATTGTCTGATTTGTGAAAATGCTCGCAGTGGTGAAAAATCGGAATCATGCTCCTTCTCACGTGCAAGTGAACCACAGAATTATTCGTTCGAGAGGGAACGCAGTTATAAGAAACAGCGTGATACTGACGAGCCTACATCACATAGTGCTGAGCAAACGTCTTTGGAAGAAATGGAAGCCGCCGGAGCGGACAAAAGTGTTGAAAAGCTTAATAAAATAGTTGATAAAGGCAAGCACGTCCCAAAAGACAGCAGCACTTGCATACAAATGCTGAGGCGTGGAAAAATTTGCTACCAGTGCGTGGATGGTGATGGTACGACTACTAAATGCTACGTGCCCCGGGAAAGGAGCAGTGGAAGCGCGGCCAACAGGTCACGTCCAGCTAAAGGGAAAGAACATAAAGTCCAAAAAACTCAACAACGTATTTACAAACGCACAATATCTTATTCATTTGAAAAGGGTCCAAATGGCACTGCAGCAAGCGAATCGCCAAGTGATGCCGGCATGTTGGAAAACACGGACACAGCAAGCAGTGCACCACATTTGAATGAAAAAATATTCATTAAGGTAGTTAAGCAAAATGAAACTATAGGAGAGTAAGGTTTCGGAAGTGCGCCTCGAGAGCTCAAAGTATTTTTATGAATTAAAATAGCGCGAGTGTACGTTCCTATGAATATCACTATATAAAGTAAAGAACTCTTCAAATTAGTCGTTGCTACTTGATAGAACACACAGAACTTCTGATGCAATAAAAATTTAAGCGTCGAAGAACCGCGCTAATGCAAAACAAAATTTCGTCGAAAATACGTCGAAATCACTCACTGTAACACTGAATAACATTTCACTGTATTACTTTTCACTCATTCACTCACTTTTTATTCACGCTATCACATTTAGTTTGTATTAATTTTGATAATTTGTTAATTTTTCCCAAAATTTTGCGAATAAAACTGCGAACCGCGCGCGCCGTGAAAAACTAACTGTTCACTAAGTTTGGTTGTCAAATTGATGTGGGGGAGAGTGAAAACGAAACGGAACTGTGTAAACGGAATGGAATTGTAGATGCGGAAATAGTCACAACAACACAAAAGTCGCCATCGAATTTTTCGCTCAGCGAGCGGAACTCCAACATAGCGAGCAGGGAAGTGGCGAATCGATGACTGCCTTATTTACATGCAAAATTTTTCGCTAAGGACCGGAACTAAAACAAAGCGAGCATACAATTGTCGAATCGGTGGTGGCTTGGTAACCTTTATTAACGACAGGTTGAACATGTGGGAATTTTTTGTTTTTTTTTTTTTTGTGTAAAAAATTGAAGTTTCGTCTTGTATGTGGCTTGTGTGATTGATGCCTGGTTTCGCCCAAGCCAAATTCATATAAGGTGGTATCGATTCTACAAATACAAGAATCTTTGTTTTTGCTTTTAGCGGGCTAATCTTCCCTGTCAAAATTTAAAATGACAAATTTTCCGAACAAATTTCAACAGGCTGGCAAATTTAAAATTGATTACTGCTACCGGGCATGACTGAGCTTGTTTAAAAAATGCCAATTTTACACATTTTTATACTTTCCCACGACTATCAGGGGGTCTACTC